TCGTAAAGTGTTTTTCTCGAAAATATTTCTGCGATTAAATGTTAAGATTAATAAAAGTATAACTCATTTAAAAACATTAAATCAAATCTTTAATGAATCGCTAACTCATGAAAACAATACCAATACTTATGATAAGATTTCATTTGAAATGTAGAGACAATTTCACTAATGAAATGATTTCACGAAATATGAAATCAATTAATTCATAAGTAATAATGGGTTATAAATAACACGAGAAAACAATTAAACGTATTTTACGATCAAATTATTTTGAGAGTTAATTGAAATGGGAATTGAGTTCAAAAACAAATGCATACCGTTATAGAGATTATAATCAGACAATGAGTTTGATTTAATCATTGTTTGATTTCTTGTCGGCAATTGTGTTGTCGTTTCGATCGGAGAGGAATTTGCGGAAGAATTCTGGTTATGATTCGTATTATTCGGCATTTGATACGAAGTATTGCCGTTTCCGTTGCCGTTAGCGCTGGCAATAGCCGCCACTTCTTGTGTCATCTGTTGTGGTTGTGATGCAATGGGTTGTGGTGTTTGATAGGTTTGCTGTTGCGGTTGCGGTACGTGTTGTTGTTGTTGTTGTTGCTGTTGTTGTTGTTGTGACGCTATAACCGGTGCTGTTTGTGACTCTTGTGGTAAGATTTGCTGATTAATCTCGTCGTTGTCCTCGCAATCGCTTCCCGGCCATTGAAGGTCATAGCCTTCCCTCTCAGCGCGCATAAGCTCTTCTGGAGTGACTCTATTTAATAGACAAATCAGTCAAACAAATAGCTATTATATTATGAATCGATGCGAACCTAACGTTGTCCAAGAAATCGAGATTTGGAAGCGCTTTAAGTACAGTCGAGCGGTAATTGTCGAACTCAGAGCACGGATTCTCCGCCAGCCATAGCTTCTTGAGTTCCGGCAAATCGATTAAGTAAAGCAATTCATTGATGTCTTGGATCTTGTTTTGCCGTAAGTATAGCTCCTGTAGTTGTCTGCAGGCGGCGAAGTCGCAGAGGGATGTGATGTGATTGATGGACAGCGACAGCACCTCAACGTTGGGCAGCCGTCGCACAATCGCCACATCTTTCAATTCGCTTCCCCTGTAATCCAACAGTCGTTTAGGAAAACATTTTTCATTAATAAATTATCGCAACAATTATAACACAATAAGTGATAATTCATTGTATATTCTATGGGGTAATCGATTCGGCGCTTAATAATTAAGATATCATAAAAATTTTTACAGCAATTTTTTCACCCACTGATCAACACTTTAATTAAAATAAACTATTTTTCATATCCTATTATAAGACAGTTAACCCTTTTTTCTTTGCAAACACTAATTATTAAACAAATATGAAAATAAAATAACAAAATCTATATATTAATAGAATGGCATTAAATCCAAAAAATGCTAACTATTTATCATAAAAAGGTTAAAAACCGGATTTTAGTTTTTGATTGATAGTTATATTCATTTTATATAATGCTATAAATATAGTATGCATTTACAAAAACAAGAAATAAATACTACCTTTAAGTGCTAGATATTAATACAATATATCAGTTATTATAAGTCATTATAATTACATTAAGATTAAGGGATTCAATGATAACTAATTTACGACATTAATTGTTGAGACAAATACATGATAAACCATTCAATTAAATGGTTATCTAATAATAGAGATCGACGTCTCAAATGTCATAATATTTTCAAATAGTAATAAATAAATAAAAATCT